AATCAAGCCTAGAAAAAAAAACAGTCAACCACCCCTTTAAAAAAAGTTTTGAAATGTTATTGGTGATTTTTTTTTATTGAATATTATAAATAAACAGACAAATAAACAAATAAATAATGATGCTCATCATGCTTTATATACAAAAAAATAAAAATTTGTCTGTGGACGTTTCACGTTTTGGAATGTACACGAATTACAGTTTTAATCTGTTAACAATTAACCGACAGAGAAATAACACATGCACGTTTATGTGGGAATCTGCTATATTAAGGACAGAAAATAATATCAGATTTATGCCAACAAATGCTATCTATTTGGCATATGTTTCAAAATATTTTGTTGAATAAAACCACTTAATTTACATGTTACCATTTTTAGGTTGCAATTGATATATTAGCAATTGTATTTTTTCCTCTCATTCCCATTTAGCAGAAGGTGAAGTCAATTTATTGTAAGCTCAAAGGTGAAGCGTGCACTTCTCCCAAACACTCCCAACAGCAAAAAACGACACACTTCACTTCTAAAAGTTTATAAAACACGTCCACCAATGAGTAAACGTCTAATTATTCAACTGAAGAGCTCCTGAACAGAAGCAGAAATTGGAGGGATTATTCTTAGTTTAATATCTCAAATACATAATACATTATTTCAGTCTGTAATATCCATAAGCGATTTATTAATGGAACAGCCAGAACTGCATTGGGGGTGAAGCTAAAAATAGGTAATTTAGTTGTCACACTCCAGGAGATTAAAAATGGGAAGAATAATTTCTTACTTCATTTGACACTATGAATAGCACCGCACGTGCACATTTTTCAAGATGTCGATGCCTAGTCAAACTCTTAATATATTCTTCTCACAGGATCTGTCACATACAATTATTTTTCTGTCAGTCACTGAATGGTGAATTAGTAATCTTTCACAAATAACTGAAGCGTCTCTGATGGCTTTCTTCGATGGGAAGAGAACCCATTAGGTAAAGTTGACGTGTGTAAGAGTATTTAAGAGACAATCTGTACTTGTAAAACCAGATCCAGCATTACAGAATTATTTCGGTGTGACTGAACCTCTCAAGTCCTCATTACAGAATCAACAGGCTTACTCAAGACTTAATCATAACATGACTCAAGTGCCTATCACTGAAATAAACATAAATCACATACCTTGCTTCAGCAGTGGATGACTGTGATGGTGATGATGATGATGATGGTGATGGCAACATTTGTGGTGATAACAGACAGAAAGATGAGACTTGCTTCC